ATATTTTCCCTCCCTCGTCAAATATTGGGCAGGGTAAAAACCATCGACGAACCTATTGAGCTTGGCATAGGCCTCCTCGTCCCCTTCGTCCATAGGATCCTCCGCTGTAAGGTAATAATTAGGGAGGTGGTCAAAGTAAGTCTCTTTCCAATGGAAGGGGAACTTGGAAAATAACTTTGTATCCATGGTCTTGTCTTCCTTGTAGAGCATGTTACCATCCTCATCAACAATAATCGCCTCCTCCAACGCAGAGTCGAAGGCTTTTTCTGACATAGGCCTAACGAGGAAGTACCTATCTTTGAAGTCACAAACAGACTCTAGGAACATCTTGAAGAGTTTCTTCTTCGAATTCTCCAAAGAAACCCAACCATGCTTTCCCTTTGTGGTTTGTCGCTGAAGTTGGAAGCATCGAAATAAAAGGGGAATCATGGCGCCGACCTGAAGGTATCGACATATTATCTCGAACGCCATAACAAAGGCCATTGTGTTCGAATGCAACTGGGAGGGTGCCAACGATAAAGGCCCAAATACCGCAACCTGGAAGTCACTGAAGGGCATCCACAACCCTAGTTCTTTGAAGACGAATTCATACATTGGGATCTGGTTGTTCTTGTAGAATGAGAAAATCCTTTTGCTCGCAGCAGGCTTGACGACCTTCCAATGTCTCTCAGCGTCGGGATCATCGGGCATGTCCTCGATAGTGATAAACGCGCCATCCAAAGACATGGAATAACGAGAGGCGATGCCCAGAGGCTCAGGAGCAACCCATGTCAGTTGGGGATCAGTGATCGAATCGACTATTTGGACGTCCTCACATGCTAAGTTGTTTGGTCCTCCTTGACATGTTCGGCCATATGACCATCTACGATAGGATCGGCCATCTCACCTGAAAAGTAGAGAAATAACATGAATTTGATGGTCAAATCAAATCCACCATTCCACAACAAGCCAAGTGAAAGGGCACACCATGGGACGAGGATACAATCCCCATACAAGCCTTGTTCGAGCTCTCGAAAGGAAATCACAACTACCCTTGGGGCAAGGGTGCGATCAAAGTCAATTGAACAAGCAAAGGCGAAGTTTGCACGCGCGGAAAAATCCTCCCCGACTTATGAATCACACGAGGGATTCATTTTTCCCCTGGGGAACACATGAATCTCCCAAGGAGAAAACATGAACATTTCTGGAGAAAACATGAATCTCTCAGGGAACGCATGAATCTCCCAAAGAGAAACATGAATATCACAGGTGAAAACACAAATCTCCCGAGGAACGCTTGAATCCCACGGGGAAAAAACAATAAAATTTATGAACATCGTAGGGATAACCTACCCAGACCGCGAAATTCATACAAGAACATACATGCTACAAAAATTAAATGGATCCTGGATAAAAAGAGGCACTTACTTGGCTGAGGATTCATCCTGGAGAGTGTGGCAGCGATGAAGGCTAGAGGTGAATCGGAGAGATGGAGGCGAGAGGAGAGTAAGGGTTACGAAAGTAACAAATGAATCCTTGATCCCCAATTTATAACCCTGCACGGAAGTCGAAACGTCACCTCGACATGTAGTCGCCCACACGCCTAGGTCATAATGACCCCTACACCTAGGCCATCATTATGCATTAAATGTTATGACACATGGCCCAATTAGCGAGCACCGATCGAGACTCTTCGGCTCCCAGATGGCAGGCAAGGAAAATTTCCCCCTCTACGAGCATACCGCTAATCCTGACTATGACATTCACCGATCATTTCCTTTCTGCGAGGAATATTGTTAATCTGGACGGTCATTTCCTTTCTGCGAAGAAGATTGTTAATCTGAACAGTCATTTCCTCTATGCGAGAAAGATTGTTAATCTTAACGAACATGTTCCCCCCTATACATACGTTGGACTGAAAGTTGATGCCTGATTAATCATTCCCCGTGTGTGGGTCGACGACATAAAATCAAGGGAAGTCACAGAGACCCCCAACATTGTTGTTTCTCCAACACACGAGCTAACCTTAATTCATAGCTCCTCTACTTAGGAATAATAACTCGGGGGGCTCCTGTTCTGAACTGGGCATGCACTCAGGGTAAGGCCCAATCAACTTTTGCTAGGAAGAAGGCCCAATATAGCGGTCCACACAATTATGACCATTGGAGAAATCTTCCTCCACGCCCCTGTCGAGGACATCCTCCTCGACACGTGCACGCATTGAGTCCCTCCCAAGTGTACCTGTCGGGGACCTCCTTTCTACTTGCCCGACAGGAGCACCATGTCCATATGCCCGACATGAGCGCCATGCCCACGCGCATGACAAAGGTACATGACCAACGTTCCTCTGAATGATATGGAGTCATCCTGCTCCAGAAAAGAACGGGTCTTCACCTTCGTGAATCGCAGAGCAGTCGAACCAGGATATGCACCACAAATTGGTCCCCTCTACCCACGTAGAATCCTGGCAGTCTCTATTATGCGATTGGGCATCCAACCCAAATGGAGACTTTGGCCCAGTGCTGGGGGCTATAAATACTCCCTCTCACTATAGGGTCAGAACATTATTCTACACTCTTTCAATACTTGCATTTACTCTTAACCTTACTTTGACATCGAGGTGTCTTGCAGGTACCCCTCCTACTTCACTTTCAACCGTCGTTCAGTTCAAGTTTATGGCTCATCGACGATCCATTCTGATCAGGTACGATCAAGTACCTACTACTTTCTTATTTTCACTTCATCCTTACACATTCTTTTCTTGCTTTCACTTATGGGTACTAGAATTTTGGCTTTCTTTTTTCTCTTTTTTGTTTTTAGAAGCTCTCAATTTTTATCGTTATAACAATTGTTCTAGCTTCCATTCTTTTTTTCATTCATATTTGTTCAATTCTAAGATTCTAGTACCCCAACCCCAAACTTAAATTGTTTCTTATTCCAGAAGCAACCCCAAACATAGTTCTTTGCATGTATCCTAACCATTCTTAAAGAAAATAACAATCTATCTAACTCTATGGAGAGGGTAGAAATATTTCTCTTTCAGGTCAATTGGCTAAGCATGTGGCTAAGTCACCGAAAGAATGGCTCGGGCTCAAAGAGTTTAGCAACGGATAAAAAATCTTTTCAAATTCACCTAAGAAAGGGTCTAACTTAAAACAAATAAATTTCCTTAGCGTGTAATCTAACAGATAGAACAATTCAGAAATAAAGAAAATTTTAGTAGAAGAATAATCATATGGACACTCATAACAACAAAAAAAGGTAAATAATGGAATTATTTTTCTCAAACCTTACTTGTTGAGATATTTTGGAATTGAGTACAAGATCATCGAATATTAATCCTCTTTATATTTTGTCAATCTGCATTTAGTACTTCTGTAACAACTATGTGTTCTCTTTTCTTATGTTTTTCTTTACTTGTGTCCTTATTCATTTTTCATTAGTAAAGCATCGTACTCTGAACTAAAGAACACAAAATAAACAAATTCATTCGTTAAATAAAGAACATACAGTTTACAAACAGAGAAAGCATATTTATTAAAAATTGAAATTAAAACTTTAAATACAAAACAAAAGAAAAAGAAATAACACAAATATTTGGGTTGCCTCCCACCCAACGCTTCTTTAAGGTCCTTATCTTGACCATTTGATTCTATGTTTGAGCGACCTATATGACACAAAAAAACATATCATTTTTCTTCTTCCTTTTGTTTGGTAGGACTCCCATGTATTTCAGATATTGATGATGTTTCTTTTATATCTTCTTACGCTTGATAGCACCGAACAAGGCGTAAATGTCATCTAATACTTTATCTTTTTTTTCTCTTCCATTTGCCTTGTTGCTAAAATAACTTTTCGTAACATGCTTTTGTTGAAGATTTTATTCTTGGATATATATGTCTAAACAAATTATTAAATTTGGATCTTCATCCAAAACTAGATCACCGTCACTTAGCCTTCTTTCTCTTTTCTCATATCTATTTTTCACCTCAGATTATTCTATTCTTGATTCAGTTTTTTCATTTGGTGGCATGCATTTTTCTTCTTCTGGTTCTTTTCAACTCCCCCTTCATCGACTATTTTCCATCCATCTTCGACTTCTCTCTCAACTTTATAACTCATAGGATTATCCAATGTACACCCATTAAAACCTACACTTGATTGAGTTGCCACTTGTTCAGATAATTGCCCGATTTGATCAAAATTATTAATAAAATCTTCACAGTTCATGTTGGATGCTTTAATATTTGAGTTCATTGCTTTCAAGTTGCTTTGATCCATCTTCATGAATTGGTTCATATTCTTGTAAGTATAAAATGTAATCTAAGAGGGGGATGAATTATATTTATTGGATTTTTCTAGTTTTTAAAAGATGATTCTTATGTTCTTATTTTTTCGAAAATATTTTGATTAACATAAGAAGTAATATATAGAATTTTTAATGCAGAAAGTAAAGAACACAACGATATATCATGGTTCCTCTTTCCAAACAAGAGTACTTTAGTCCTCTCACACATCGTGAGATATTTCACTATGTTAGGAATTGTACAACCTCATCCTAAGACTTTATTCAAATCTATAACATAATCCAGAAGGCACATTAGTTTCTAATTTTACAAGCCAAAGAAAAAGAACCCTACTTTCTCTCTAACACACTTGTTTCCACTAACTTGGCAAACAAGCAATAATATAAAGTTATTGAATATGAATTTGAGTACTTGTGAATTTTGATACATAATAAAATTCCAACAATTGACTTTCCTTTCAATAGAACAATTTAGAATAATAAAAACTAAATGCTCAAGAAACTTTTATCTGATATGAAAAAGTTATGAAGAAAAGTTTCCAAGAGTTTGAAAATTATGCAGTAGATATATTATGAAAATTTGAATGAAATAGATGATTTTCACAATCAAAATTTTTTATATTTATAGTGGCACATGATACCATTTGAAAATCATGGCAAGGCTTTATAAATATTCAGAAATATGTTGAAATAATTTGGAAAGGTGTTTATAAACATGTGCCATGAAAAGGTATGAAAAGTTTCAGAATTTTTTCAAAAGCTACTTAGGTAAATTAATTTACATGGAGAGGTAAATAGATTTACTAGTTTACAGCATTCAAAAATTTGAAAATTTACACTATGTAAATCTATTTACATGAGTGGGCAAATTGATTTACCTTTTTCATTTTCTCAAAATCAATTTTGGCATAGAGCATGTAAATCGATTTTAAAAAATAGGTAAATTGATTTATTTAACCAAAAACTTGAAAATTTGACTAAGTTAAAAAGTCTTTGAATGTGACATATGCAACAGAGTTATGGAAAACATGGAATGAGTTAAGATGAAAGTTTGTGAGCACCTAAAACTTTTAAACAATAAATTACATATTGTACCTTAGATTTATTCCTCATATCTTAATCAAGATTATCATATGATAATTGAGATTTCTTCGACCTTTTATACTTGAGCATGATGATCAATCTTCAACCTTTTATACTTGGACAATATGACAAATTAAGTTATATTAGGGAGAAAAAATTACACGTTCAATGATAGACAAGAATTCTTCAGCTCCTTAACCATATTTTGCTCTTTAATTCTTGGAACTTGTTTTAATGCCTAGTTCTTCAACCTCATTCTTTCGCCCCTAGCACTACGCCAAAAATGATTTTTTGTATCACCTAATTTAATAGCACTTTTAAAAAAAATGCTATTAAAATGGAAAAAACACATTTATAATAGCACTTTTTAATCGGGCGCTATTATATAATACAGACTATGTAATTTTGATAGCACTTTGTACCAAAACGCTATTATTAAACTTCTTTAAGATAGCATTTTGTATAAAACGCTATTATTTGACTACCTATATAATAGCATTTATTAAAAAGCGCTATGTTATATATAATAATGAATTAATTAATTAATTGATAAAAAAAAAAAAAACACATTTTCAGAAAATTGGGTGTTGGTGCTATTTAAGAAAACTTTATGGGTGATTTTGCCAGTTGCACGTCCAAACAACAAGACTGGAGACACCTCCTTGTCAATCGTCTCTGAGCTTTCCGATCTCCGCCGCTCTCAATCCGTGTCACTCCCGGTAAGTCATCCACCACCGTTCTCCGTTCTTTTCTCTTCTCTATAGCTTTGCCCCACTTGTATCAATCTCATTATCTCTTCTGGTTTGCCCGCAAAGTGTTTGATAAATGTTCTGACCATGGTTTTCTATCAACCTTAGAGAAAGAGGAATCATCAATAACACTATTCATTCTCCTCTAATAGTTTCCCTTTCAAATTGCTTATTTCTTTTAGGGAATAGTATTATGATAATTTGCTTACAAGCACCCAAAGAGTTCAACAAAGAGTACTGAAGGTTGGACCACAGTATGGTCCAAACCTGATAATATATGTCTTTATACTGTCAGTTCTGGTAGTGGTGTTTGTGGATACAATAGCTTCTGCACTTTGGGACAGGATAAGAGACCAACGTGTCAGTGTCCAAAAAGTTACTCTCTAGTTAATCCTGATGATCCATATGGTAGCTGCAAGCCAGATTTTATACAAGGATGTGAAGAAGATGAACTGAGTAAAAGAAAGGATCTCTATAACTTTGAGGTTTTGATTAACACTGATTGGCCTTTCTCAGATTCTGTGCTTCAAAGGCCTTTTACTGAAGAACTGTGTAAAGAAGCTTGTATGGGAGATTGCATGTGTTCTGTGGCTATTTTCAGGTTAGGTGATAGTTGTTGGATGAAGAAGTTACCACTCTCAAATGGGAAAGTTGATCCAACACTTAATGGTGCGCGCTAAGGCTTTCTTGAAAGTGAGAAAAGATAATACCTCCCTCCAGTCCTTTGATTTTCCTCCATTTCCAATCATTGCGAACAAGAATAATAATAGGGAAACGTTGGTTTTGGTTGTTTCTGTGCTTTTTGGTAGCTCTGCTATTCTCAATGCTGTATTGCTTGTAGCAATATGTTTCAGCACCTCCATGATTGTTCAGTACAAGAAGAAGCTTAGAAGAGTTAGCAGAAGTGAAACTAGTGTTGAAACCAATTTGCGTTGCTTCACTTACGAAGAGCTTGAAGAAGCTACTAATGGATTTGACAAAGAGCTAGGAAGGGGAGCTTTTGGTATAGTTTATGAAGGAGTCGTCAACAACACATGTTCCGAAACTCGTGTGGCTGTGAAAAAGTTGAACAATTTTTTGTTGGATCAAGCTCATAGAGAATTCAGGAATGAACTGAATGTCATTGGTCTCACTCATCATAAGAACTTAGTTCGTTTACTTGGATTTTGTGAGGGTGGAAGTGAAAGATTGCTTGTTTATGAGTACATGAGCAATGGCACTTTGGCAAGTTTACTTTTCAATGCTGATGAGAAACAGAAACCAAGTTGGAAACTAAGGCTTGAACTTGCAATAGGAATAGCAAGGGGACTTGTGTATTTACATGAAGAGTGCATTACTAGGATCATCCACTGTGACATAAAGCCTCAAAATATACTTCTTGATGATTACTTCAATGCAAGAATTTCTGACTTTGGACTAGCCAAGTTGATGAACATGAATCAAAGCAAAACCAACACTGGCATTAGGGGAACAAAAGGGTATGTTGCACTTGAATGGTTTAAGAACATGCCTATTGTTAAATGACATTTGGGAAAGTAGGAGTTAAAGTTTTCAAACTTAGGATTCTACTAAGAAATAGAAGTTTGTGGTAAAATGTAATTGTCAAACTTAGCACTTTGTTACATTTTATTTGGTTTGTGAAAGGTCACTGGCCGGTTTTGGTTTCAGTGCTACCTCTAATGCTGCTGCCACCTCACAGTTTGTGAGGGCTGAAATGCTCCCTACTAGCCACTTGGTTCGACCATACGAAGGTTGATCGGTATTGAAGTGACTGAAACCATTGAAATCAAAGAGATATGGTATGTTTTTAAGTCTAGATTAATGTATTTGTTTCATGCTGATGTGGTGTTTGATATTTGATTTCATTGTTGTTTTTTTTGCTTGATGAGCTGTGAGTGTAAAGTAATAGCATAGACTTTCTATTTTTGATCTTTGAATTTGATACATTAAATTTAGAGTTAACGTTGAATACTATAATGAATAAAAGACATAGTTATTGTAGAAAGAGATGATGAATTAAGGTGGTGAAGAAGAAGCATAGTTATTTCAAAACACTTTCAAGTATACCAAAACAATATGATCATGCTGCATGCATAGTATCTTAAAAGAATCAGAAGCATATGGAGTGAAAATGATGGCTTAGTTACCTTTTTGTATGCTAATATTAGGACCTTTTGTGCAATCAGATTTTTTCTTTGTTTCATTTTGTTTTAGTAGATTTGGCACCTCCATTGCATATCTATATTTCTTTCTTTTTCATCTCAGGCCATTGGGTTATTAATCACAGCTCAAGTGGATGTGTATAGTTATGGAGTAGTGCTACTTGAGATTATTTCATGTAGAAGATGTGTTCAAGAAATGGAACAAGAAGATGAAGAGAAAGCAATATTAACTGACTGGGCTTATGATTGCTACAAGGATGGTGCTGTAGATGCATTGGTTGAGGGTGACAATGAGGCATTGGATGACAAAGAAAAGTTGGAGAAATTGGTAATGATTGCAATTTGGTGTGTTCAAGAGGATCCAGTTCTTAGACCAAGCATGAGAAATGTGATACATATGCTTGAAGGTACTGTTGAAGTGCAAGTTCCAGCATACCCCTCACAAATTAGTATTCAATATTCTCTAATTTAATAACTTGGTTTGCAAGATTTGCAGATTGTGCTAATCCTTGTTTTATTGTTTTAATTGAAACTGTAAAATTTGAATTTATGTCTGTGTATCAAGCTGTGGTTTTTTGTTCCTTGAACAGTAGTATTTGAGGTTCAAGATTGATTAGTTTACTGGGTATGAATAAACTTGATTACCCAATTGTCTTGGATAATGTTAGTTTAATTATAAATTATCATATGTTTTCTACAAAATAAAATGCAACGTTAAATAGTTTACATATTATGATTAATCTAATTATATTTTACTAGATAGATTGCATTTCAAATCAATTTCCAGTTTGTGTGTTTGTACAATATTATGATTAATCTAATTATATTTTACTAGATAAAATGCATTTCAAAACAAACTTTCTGTACAAAATTATATTTTATTGGTTTAGAAGATATGGCACAGAAGATATTGTACTGTATTTATTAAAAATATTGTACCAAATATGTACCATTTATTAGCACTTTATTTGAAAGCGCTATCAAACATATGTTATATATTAGCGCTTTTTGTTTAGAGTGCTATAAAAAAACAAACAAAAAACATGCAAAATACTGACTTTGATAGCACTTTAATTAAAACGCTATTATAAATTGGTACTTTAATAGCGCTTTTAAAGTGCTATTAAATAAGAAATATTTACAATAGTGGCGCGGTTAATAGCACTTTTAAGCGCTATCAAAAACAAAAAAAAGCGCTATTAAATAGCTTATTTGGCGTAGTGTAGTTCTTTTTGAAACATATTATTTACATAGAAAATTAAATTAGAGGTGAAGGAAAGGTAGGTTGAAAAAATAGAAGCGTTAAACAAAGTTCTCTCTACTAAAGAGCAAAATGGAGATAATGAACTAAAGGATTCTTATTTAGAATTGAACGTGTAACTTATTTTCAAATATAACCTTATCTATCATATTATAATTTTCTAATAAAATTCAAAAAATTATATATTTGTTAAGGTGTAAGAAAAATAAGCAACCCACATAAGATATAATAAAATTATCTAGAACAAATATTAATAACAACATTCATCAACAACAAAATCTTAAATAACATAGAACATACTTGTCCCATAATAGAATCTCAAATGAAAGAAAAAGATGATGAAGTTGAAGTGAGAGCAACAAACGTGTGTTTGCAACGCTCACACAAGTTTGTTGCGCTCACTTCAGCTTCATCCTTGTTAATTTTGTTAATCCATCCAACAATACCTACAAGTACAAACAAGCAGAAACATAAACAGTAAAAGGAACAAGTCAGACCATTAAATCTTAGGGTTTGAAACAAAAACAATAGCTAAGATTTAAACATTATTTGTTAGGGTTTGAAACATAAACAATAAGCAGAAACATAAACATAAACGAAATCTGAACATAAGCTTAATAAACAAATCTGACGGTGGTCATTGGTTTGAAGAAGACGACATAGTTGTATTAGTTTGGTGTAGACAAATTTGAATGTTATTGTAGGTGATATTACATAGAAGTTAGGGTTATGTTTTGAGAGATAAGAGTGAAATATGTTAGGATTTTCTTTTGAGAGAAACTATTATTATTTATTGAACGAGAGAAAATTTTGCTTATATATAAATAAATATCACATTTCACCACGATTGATAAGTCGAACCGTGGTGAAAAGATTGAACATTACACCATGATTTACTAAAAGAATTATTGTGATATACAAGGACGATCCCATTTTGTGACGATAAAATGGGAAATTGAATGAACTGGGATTCGAACCATGCAACTATGGTACGAGTTTTAACAATGACCGTAATAAAATATATTTTAGTAAATATCAAAAAACAACGTCCAAAAATGAGATGTTACCACGATTAACAAGGAGGCCGTTGTAAAAAAGTTATTTTTCGTAGTAGTGTAAAGTTAAAAAGCCTTTGAATGCGACATATGCAACAAAGTTATAGAAAACTTGGAATAGAATTCAGATGAAAATTTGTGAGCAGCTAAAGCTTTTAAACATTAAATTACATATTGTACCTTAGATTTATTTCTCATATCTTGATCAAGATCATCTTATTATAATTGATATTTCTTCAACCTTGTTACTTGAGCATGATGATCAGTCTTTCCTTCTTTCTACCTATTTGTCTTCATCAAAACATAAATCATCTAGAAGCTTGACTTCACAAGTCTCTTCTATAAGAGATGGCTCTCTTTCAGGTATTTCTTGAGTGACTTGCATTGCTTCAAGGATGCTTCAAGTAAACTTCTTGAATTTGTTCAAAGTATCTTCTAGAAGGGATGACTTTCTTGGTGGATTTTGAGAAACATCTTAGTTAAAATTTTGGCATTATTGTTACTCTAGTTAAGATATGGATGATGATCTCACCATGGATCATAGATGTTGAAGTAAAGATTTAGCTCTTGATAATTTTCTACATAATGTGTCTCTTCAATGTATCTCTGGTACACAATAATCACTGGTGTGATCTTCACCATAAAAATCACATTGAAATGTTCTGACTTAATTAACTTTTGTTAAAATTAAAATTGAGACAGTCAATAGCTTTATAAACACTTCAAATTATATTAACAAAACAAGTTGAAAATCAAATAGAAAATATCTTAAATCTTTTATCTTGCATACACATCAGAAAATATTTTAATAGCAATGAATCAAACAAAATTGAATAAGAGTATAAATAAAATAAAATACATAAAATAAAAATAAAAAATAAATAAAAAGAAAAAATAAATAAAAAGAAAAAGAAAAAAAACCAAAACAAAAATAATAAAAAAATAAAACAGTAATAACAATGCAACAAAGAAAATTTAAAACTAAAAAGTCAAAAATAAAAAACCAAAGTGCCTATAATAACTATAAAAGAAAAAAAAATAGAAACACAGAAAATTTAAAACTAACCCTAAAAATAAAATAATATATTAACAAACGAAAATGAAGCACAAAAGTTACATTGCTAAAATATTTCAACAATTTCCGACAACATCACCAAAAACTTGATAAATATTTAACAAGTGTACTGAATGTATCTAAATAATAAAAATTCAAATTTGTATCCACGTGAACTATTTTATTTTAACAAAGTGATTTTTATGCTATAAAAAGTAAATTTCAAGATTTTCTAGTTTTGATTTGATAAAGTAAATGTGTAAAAAAAAAAATTGTTGAAAAATTTGATCAGATTAATGGCGATCACCCACATAAATTTTTCAAATAGTCAGCATCGTGCACACGATATTTGTTTTCGTGCACGCGAGAACACTTGTTGCGTATGCGATTTTTCCAGTGCCTAAAGCTTTTTGTTAGCTTTCTTTTGCAAAAGATCACACCTCAATCGGAGTTATGAAACTTTAGATATATCAAATTATTAAACAAATGTTATACTGATGTAAATATGTTGAAAATGATATTTTTCTTTACAACTTCTCCACTTTTTTATCTTTTTGTTTTGTAAACTATTAAAAATCATCAAAAACATATACAAATATTTATAAAAAATAAGACATAGTGTCATCAATACTCCATGGACTAAGGAGTTGACATACTATGCACAATGAAAAGATAAAATATCGTTTCGTTTTGGAGTATCATCTCTCACGGATAAGGATCCTCTACCTTTTGAGAAAGAAAGATACAGTGACTTTAGATAAAAAATAAAAGAAGAAATATATGAAAGAAAGTAAATCATGAGAGATAGAAAGAAAGTTAGAGAAAGATAGATAATTCAAAGTTAGGAAATCCAAATCATCGTGTCCATCGCGTGGCCAGTGAAACCAACTCTTGTCTTAAAATACATTGACTACATCCTTTTTAACTCATACGCTATTTACATTGTGTGCATAAAAATTTATACAAGTTTTGTTGATTCAAGTAAGTTTAATTTAAATTTCCCTTTAATCAACAAGATAAAGATTAATCACTTCACAATTATTATAAAGGCAATAATGTAACATAAAATTCACATGCACCCAAAAAGAATTATAAATTCACATCAAGTCCCAATATATAGAAAAATCCTGGTTCCGGCAACATAAAAATGCAACTAGAGAGAAAGTCGTGCTAAAGGAGTAAGCTAATCCATGAAAGCCACATGCGATTAATTATCCATAGATAATATCCAAACAGCCTCTCCCAAGACATACATATCATAATTTAAATAGAAAAATTGAAATCAAGAATGCTTACTTAAGAACATTTCCTTACATAAAAACAACTGCATCTGAATTTCACCATGGAAGAAACATATGAAGTATTTACATCAATAAGATGACCCTTCCTTCAACCCTCAAATGTTGTAAACAACTAGAAGGACAATAATAATTCTCTAAATTCCTAAATAAGAACTTTTGTGCGTGTAGATTATTACAAAATCAGGTAAAATGTATGGTCAAGATTTACTTCCAAAATATGAATTAAAAAACCAGAAAGAAAAGTCCAGAGCAATGATTGATACCCTGAACCTTCATACATATAATCAGTTGACCACACTCATATCAGTCATCAAAACTTCCGCCGTAAACCTCTTTAGAATAATGTGGATAATACCTTGATGAAGCCACTGCAGCAAACCACTTACACCACACCACATTGAGGCACGTATCTGTAAAATGCAAAATCCAAAAGAAAACCCATGGAAGAGGGAGAAGGAAGGAGATCAATAGAGAGTAGCGAACTCGATGTCATTTCAGCAAATGAAAAAGCTGATTTTATTTATAAAATTAAATGTATGTACACGAGGCTTTGTTCTCTGATTCCTAAGAGCTACAACCAGAATAATGTTTTCTAACATATAATCACTGGCAATACTAACTTCTACCTTGAACAAAAAGATCTTTACAGTGGAAGTCACGAAGTTGAACACAAGCAAAATCCAAAACAGCAGACAACGCCACTCAAAAGCAACTTGGAGAGAATAATTTACCAAAGAATCTATAGAATCTACTTGTAGACAGAATTAGCCATAAAACCATCCTAGGTAACTGGTTATTTTT